TCAGACGGGGGGGTACGGGGCGCCTCAATTCCCTGCTGGTTGTTGGCTGCAGTCACCCTCTGTTCCTTGTCACGGGGGCCTCTCCTCGGGGCATTTGCTTCATCGGAGCCAGCAAGCGAGAAAGTCTATACAAAAAGTCAGCTAGCACGACAAACGTGACCACCTCATATAATGTAATCACAAAAGTGACATCCCATCTGCTTTGCCATAAACCTATTGGCTAGCCCTGCACATGCTCAAGGGGAGAGGATTACAAGGGGCATGAATACCAGGAGGCAAGGATCGTTGGAGGGCCTCATAGTCTACCATAGCCCGGAACCAGTGCCACCAAGCATGTCAGCCTCTCCCAGGGTGTTAAAATCTCTAACATGGGAAGACTTAATAATCTTCACCAGCTTAAGAGCTTCCCATCAGTGTGATCCCCAGACCCACCCGAGTGGGAAAGAAAGAGGCCTCCCCTCCTGCCCCCTCTTTAGCCCACGACAAACTCCTTGAAGGCACAGCCTACTTCCATTTTGCTCATGGATGTACCCCCACCAACTAGAACATGTCTACCCAGCACAAAGCAGGTGCATAATAAAAACGAATGTGTGACTGGGTCCTGCAGGCTACCACCTGAGGAGTCTTCCTTCTGCTTCCCAAATATATTTCCCCTCTGTCCAAAATCCCCATGTGGGCCCCACAGACAAGCTGTGCCCCCCAAATTGATGCCCATCCTTGGTCTTCAAGCCAAGCAAGCCAGCTCCAGGATGCAAAGGGAAGCCTGGACACCATCTTCTCCTCCTAGATGGACTCTGGCCAGCCATCCTTCCCCCTGCCCCAGGTTGACATGAAAGCCTGTCTGGAGGGCCCAGCACCTAGTGTGGGCGAGTGGGGGGGATGGTCTCAGAAATGTTCCCACTTGGCTCCTCAGAGCTTCATGGCAGCCTGCCAACTTCATCACTCTGACCCTCCGATGTGGCAGAGAAAAGCAGACCATGGACAGTTTACTCATGGTTCCAAAGGACCAAAATGGAAGCAGCGGTGATGAGTGAGTTGTCCTTGTCTTTTTCGTGTCCTTCAGTGGTATTATCACAGCTTCTCTGAAGTGAATCCAATGTGTCCCCTCTAAGGTATTCCCCCAAGCACAGCCTAGTACCCAGTGTCCCCTTCACTTCCCACCGTGGGGTCGTCACTGGCTGAGCGGGCCGCCTATTGTAAAGTCGGATGCTTCAGGTCAATTGTCATAAAATGAAATTTGC